GGGTATTCAAAATTAAATAATATTTAAGGATGGTTCGATTGGTATCAACAGAATCTTTGATTTGACTCAAGTTAGATCATTTCATTGATTAAAATATGGAGGCGAGGGCAATAATATGCTACTTCATATGACTGGATTTTGAATCCTAGGCTATGTTTTTGATTTGAATCAGGGTAGAGTTTTCAATTAATATTCCACTACATATGTACTAGGGGAGAAGATATGACAATAATTACTCAATGCATATGGGTATGAATATCCTTGTACTCCATCAGTAATAAATTTAGCTTTTGCTTTTCCAAAAAAAAAAAAAGAAGATACATTATGTTGTCCAAGAATGTGGTTTAACTACATTATTCCACTTTTAATTAGTTTTCAAGACAAAAATTTCAAACAAAAGAATAACAATAATAAATAAAAAAATTATTGATATATACTTGATTTAATAAATTTTTAATATTTATCTCGATTTAATTATTAAAATATAATAAATATATAATTGATTCTTACTTTTTATATACATAATTATATTTTTAAATTTATTTACATTTAATTTTATACTAAAATAAAATAATTTTTTAATAAATATATTATATAATATATTAAATTAAAATATATATCAATAAATGTCCTAATAAATTACAAAACTCTAGAGCTTAGAACATAAAGCGGAGCTATTGGTCACAATTATCTTGAAAGTTAATTATGCAACGTGAAAGCACAGTTGCAAGCTTCTTTACATTATCTACAGTGTGTGCGGCGCTCAGAATTACCCGCAGCCGAATACATATAATATCACTTTCATTAAAAATGATACCAATTAAGTTTGTTCTTCATGTTAGAGATGGGAACGAAATGCACCTCTCCACGTAGCCCTTTCGTACGCCCTATGTGGTGATATTCCTCCATGCCAATGCTCTGCTCACCGGACCTTCGAACCCAGAACCCATGACTCGAGTGTTTGAAGACAAACACTCAGCCATTTGGACTGGGAAGAGGCCGGTCTCCATGCCAATGCGTATAGCCAACATGATAGGCTAACTTTCTGTGTATCAGACTAGTACGTACAGCTAGCCAACATGCCAATGTTATGAACAAATTTTCTTGTTTAAAAAAAAAGGGCAATTCCAATTCCATCCAATCAGTTTCGGCCAAAAAAATTTTCATCTAATCATAAATTGGTAAAAATGTTTTTTTAAACCATTTTTAGCAAGAAGACAAACAAATTGAATTGATAATTATAACTTAAAAGTTAGGTGAAGAAATAGCAATTGCATGTTGTAGGGGCGAATATATTTCTCGTGCTTTCTGACTTTGCTTGGTACAGTCTGATCCTGTGTATAAAGCTAACCTTGAACATCTTGAACCCACAGCCACCTTCACAAGTTCATCTGCATCTTGCTCAGGGCATCAAAAACTCCGGTGAGTTTTGTGTTGTATTCATGGTTTCCAGGTTTAATATAACCTTGTTCAATTCCCCATTTATCATTATCATCTTGTTTCCTTAACGTTTATAATTCCAGGTTTAAAGATCTTTAATTTCAAGTTTATAGTCTTAGTTTTTCACCAAAAAAAAAAATTATAGTTATAGAATAAACTAGGAACAAAAATAAAAGTATGAATGTCTATCTTAATTTTTTCATATTTTTCTTTCCCTTCCTTTTCTTAATATAACCTTGTTTTATACACTGATTTAATTTTTTTTTTTTTTGAAACTAATAGGTACACTTGGCTCTAAACATGGTAAATCTATTTTACATTGTTTTGTATCATATTTTAAATTTTTTTATTTTTAATATTCTAACTTGCAGTTAATGCGATATTTTAGACCATTGAAATGGATTGGAGGGGCAAGCCTGTGTTGGCTCCGGTGGTTGACCAATTAAACTGTCGTAAGTAATTAATTAATTATATATTCTTTAATTTCTTTCTCCTTTCTTTTTAAATTTTTTTAGAGAATATACTTTAACTAATAAACATATATATAAAGTTGTTAGAGTTTTCCCACTCTCCTCAATTCCTCGTTCCGTCGTTATCTGTTCATAATTCTTTGGTTATGACAGTGAGCCAACTTCTCTGTCTTAACTCTTTTTTTTTTTCGGCTTCTGCTAATTACAGTACTAGTTTATCTCCTTCCAAAGTCCCAAGAAAAAAACATGCACTTATATTTGAAAAAAAAAAAATCAAATTTCTTCTACTGTCTATTATTATTATTATTATAATAAAATTTTGATTATATTTCATAGAAAATAATTAATGATTATAAAATTTCTTTATAATTTCTAGTCAGTTGATATCAAAATTCTGTTTTATTAATTCTATGCATGAAGATTGCTGCTGGGCAATAGTTGCTGCCAATTCAATCAGCTCAGCACAAAGCATTAAGTTTAATCGGGAGGTGACTGTTTATTCATATCAACAACTTATTGACTGCGCCAATCCAGAATGGGCCAATATTGAAGGAGACGACTGTATTCCGTATTGTTATCGAAAAGCTTATAGGCACATAATCACAAACGGACTGTGCAAAGCAGACGACTATAAATGGGAGAAAAAAAGACAGCCATGCCAGCTGCCCAAAAAGGTACGTAAAAACTTTTATATATTTCAAAATTAAAATATTTAATTTAAGTTTCTACAACAGGCTAGTAATCAAAATCCCCTTTTGTTGCTTTTAATTAGCTGCGTCGGTATGATGTGCTACAAGATTATGAAAATATCAAAAACAATGAGGAAGAGGTGCTGAATATCTTGAAACAACAACCAGTGGCAGCACGTGTGGGAATAACCGAACCCCTGCGAGCCTTTGTTGGTGACGTAAGTTTAGGATTTTCTAATTCATTCTATTGCTTTATTGCTCTTAAATAAATAAATAAATAAATAATCATTTATTGCTCTTTTATATATATATATATATATATGTATATATTAATATATAATCCTTTATTACTTTGATAAGAATTGATTTATTATTAAATAGAGAAAGTTTTATCCTTTTAAGCTCTGTAAAAGGAGAAATTCTTCCGTACAAATTCATTTATTTGCAGTTAGTTGAAAATAGAGATGTACATATCTATTGCTTCTTCTTCTCTTTCTTTTCTGCTTTTAACTAATCATTACTGTTGAATTGATTAATTATTATTATTTAACTGATGATGATTTTGGTTGTTCATTGGGTTACTTGAATATCTTAGGGAATATTTGCTGAGGAAGGTGGGGGTACGAAGGGCCACGCGGTATTAATTGTTGGGTACGGAGAAGAAGGAGCACAAAAATACTACATAATACAAAATTCATGGGGTACTAGTTGGGGTGAGGATGGGTTTGGAAAGATTGACCGCAAGTTATTAACACACTTCAGTTACCCAGTGGTGAAAGAGGGACTTAATCTTATTAATGGGTAGTTAGATATGTGGTGAAGGAGGAACTCACTCATATGGTTAGATAGATATAATAATTAGTACATCTTTTAAGATCTTATATATTGTGACAATATTTTTTATGTTTGGTTATTATTATTGTTATTGTTATTGTTATTGGTACTACTCTTTAAGCATGAATTAATATTAATTAAGTTTCTTATAACTAAACTACCATATATATATATATGCTTTTTATCTTTATTGCACAATGCGAAACAATCATTTCATATATTTTATCTCACTCTATCCATATACTATGCGACTCAAAATCAGGACTTCTTACTTCTAACACAAAATGAAATGATTATTGAACTATTTAAATTGTCGGCAAACTATCATATATAATTTGTGTGATTTCTTAGGTCATATGTATGCAATTTATTTGTGGCTTGGGCAGTCTTGCACGTATTACATCTTACCTATTTGAAGCCTGCCAACACTCTTTTTCTAGTCTCTTAATTAGGGTTACAAAGCTCTTTACTAATTATAGACTCTTGGCTTCGCCAAGTCAAGTTGAAACATGAGCTTGATGAGCTGGAACTCTCGTGGCCGTCAATTGTTTCAACTTGGCTTTTGCCTAGTCAAAGTCTAACTATAGCCTCAACTGGTAGCTCCAGCTATTCTGCAAAACTCGTTGGCTGCTAGATCTCCCCGTATCTAAGTTCTTTTGTTGAACGGAATGGCTTCTAACTCTCAGACAAGGTTTCAAAGACTTAAATCTTGAGAAAATATACCCTCTAGAGGTTTTTCTAGTGAGGCTTCTCTACACTTTCCTTTGCACATGCTTTGTCTGTAAAATGAACATTTGGGTTGTAATCACTCACTTTTTCTTTCAGCCAACTAGCCAGTTATCTTCAAATTTTGAAAATTTAATCACTTATCTTAAATCTAACTTGTACTTTTTTTCAATAAAATGAAAATTTTATTTGGAGTACAAAGAATATTCTTGTACATAAATATATGGAAGTTTATACATAAATATTCCTGCCCATAACTTGCAATTATTAGTGGCTATGAGATGGTAGATGTGTCTCTTGATATGGCTAAATTGATTTTTTTTTTTTTTTTTTAAAAAGAAAGTAAAAGATTAAAAGAAATCCTTCTTTTCTTTTTTTGAGGCCCTAACGAATTGAAGTTTTCTCCAATCTAGACTCACTGGCAGCGAAAAAACAAAGATTGTAAGGTTCTCTTCCATTCCAGATTTCTAGTTGATCCAATCCATACTCCCTGGGAGCGAAAGAACATAGATGGCAAGGTTCTCTTCCATTCCAGACGTACACTTGAAAAATGAATTTCTTACCTTGTTTTGACATTCGCACTACGTACACAATTATGATTACAAATTTCTTCGCTAGTTAAACTATTGCTTGCCATAGTATACGTTATAAGTGCCTGTATGTTTTGAAGATGATGTAGGTTCTAAGGCTCATCAATTTTGTTTCACAGTCAACTGCAGAATTTACAAATGCTGTAACGGATCCAGAGCAAGGCACACCGAAGAAAGATAAGGTCAATTGCACATGTGCAGGTAGTTCCCCCTCCTTCTAAGGAAAACCCTTACCACTAAAAACCCAACCAATCTTGTATAACCCTCCACCTTCGGAGAATCACAACGGGATCCCATACACACTCATTTCCATCACAGAGGCCCCAGCTGCTAGAGCTACAAGTTCAATTGCCAAATAGGACACGGACCAACATGAGTACTGACAGAAAACGACTCCAAACGCTTTTGCCAAGGCTAGGTCCAAACTCAGATTGAATTCAGTCTAATAACGCAATAAATTTTAAAATAAAGTTTTATCAGATGAAAAACTGGACCGATCTGATATCAACGATGTAATTGAGTAAGACCTAATCCAAGGGACAGGTAACAAAGAGAGCATTTAAAAAACTATACGGTAGAAAGAAAATTTAAAAAACACAGCTATGATAATTGGAGTTAGCTTAATAATTGTGTGCAGTGATAAGCCAAAAATATGAACATATTAACAACTTCCACAACATCTCCATATATAACTACTAACTACCCAGTTTTTTCTTTAAATATATCCAAATTAATTACTAAGGACCCATCTCCTTCAAAAAGATTCCGCTGAGACACCACAGTAACAGTAGGTCAAAAAAGCACCTGCAAATAACAAAATGAACACCATTAATATCTCATGCATAGAACAATTCTACTGTATTTCAAACCAATCAATTCAAATACTAATATACAAATACAAAAAACTAGCCCCAAAAGATTATTAACTATCTATACTTGGTAAACTTACCCTGGTACGCAACAACCCTAATCACATTCTAAGTCCTAATGACAGAAAGCCTCATCCTAATCACATTCTAAGTCCTAATGACAGAAAGCCTCATCCTAATCACATGACCTTGTAACTTCTTCATTGCAACTTCTACATTGCTTTTGCATTGCTATCTAAAGAGCATCTGCTATATTTTTAATAATCAGTCCAATCATTCATTGCCATTTGCCAATGGGATGAGTCGGAATTGCTCAAGGAGAGTAAGAGATGGATAGGAAGAGTACTTGTCAAATGCATAAGCAACAAGAATGTGATCCCCAATTTACTTGTCATAAATTGAGAACTTTAGTGTTTGAGATGTTAAAGCATGGAAAATCATCACATACAATAAATGGCAAGATGAGAGAGAATTTCATTCAAGGGCTTGGTTAAACAAACAAAATCTCATAAGAAACATAGTATCAAAACTCAAAGAAACACTCAACAAAAGAACAGAATGAACCATGAAGACAAACAAATAGTTAAACTAAGAGAAGTACTATGCAAAATACAGGAAGAAATGCTTGTAAACAAGAGTTATTACCAAATCAATAATAGAAATCATGAGGAAGAAAACCTATTCTATATTTTACCCTAGCAATCATGCTCTTTATACAATCCTGATTTTGTGCACTTCAACGGAAAGAACCCTGTCAATCATGAGGAAGAAAACCTATTCTATATTTTCCCAAGCAATCACAGAAAAGCATATAGAATAAATGGAAATATGACTTTTTTTCACATATTTAGTTGGAGTTCCAGTAGGTACACCATTAGTCTACAAGCAATTCTTGTCCTTTTGTTTTGCTACGATGTTAATATTTGCCACCTTAGCAGACATAAAAGATCAATTAAGGAAGTGTTTTCCAAATACATTTAAGACAGAACAAAAAACATAGAAAAAAAGAAATAAACATTTGCATTCATACCCACCGTTTCTTACCTTAGCACGAACAACATAGAAGAGCAAAATATAATGCAACTTTATCTCATATTTACTAGTTCAAAATCCATTCATTCCATGATCACTGATGCAAGAAATCATTCATGTTGAAACAGAAACTGTAATGACAGCATGTAACAAGGATGCACAGAAAAGAAAGGAGAAAGCTTAACACTGCCAGGATATTCTGCTGGATTTTGTGATATAATGATAAATAAAGGGCCTAGTATATAGAACACTGGCCAATCAAGAAAGGAATAAAATGTAGAAGAAGAAGAAGAAGAAAAAAAAAAACCTAAGCATATATAAAGATGCACCGTGTTGCAAAAATATTCTTGCTCTTACAGTTCAACTTGTAAGTAAACACATAATTGCTACTCCATTTATAGTTAAACATGACAATAATCAACACCCAACCAGCACAGCTAAGATTCAACATTAACGTGATACATTTGTTAGTAAATAATAAGGGAGTTATAACACCAAAATTATTTTTTACTCTGAAAGAATAGCCTTCACCTAATCAGTCAAATTATTCATAGCCATTTGCTAATAGGATGAGTTGGAGTTGCTGAAGGAGAGTAAGGGATGGACATGAAGAGTATAAGCAACAGGAATATGCTAATCAAATGTATAAGCAACAAGAACATGTTCCGCAATTTACTGGTCAACATGTCAGAACTTAAACTGTTTGAGATTCATTTCATGCAAACAATTGGACCTATACTGTTCATTTAATGACTAGCACAAGCATACATGCTTGATTGTTGTGTGCTTCAATCAAAAGAACCCTGTCAATC